CCGCGGGGCTCCTCGGTATCGAGGCCTTCCCCATCCCGCGCCGGCTCTAGCCCGTCCCTGGAGACCCTACGGACTGCGGGAGGGCTCTGGAACTTCCCTGTCCCTTCCCTGAGCTCGGAGGCACAGCGCGGTGACCACATGGCACATTTGGTGCATGTATTTGTATGTACTATGCATATATATACATATATATATATATGCAGTGTGCTTCTGTGCCCTGTCCCCTCACACCATCCTGCAAACAGTTTCTGGCAGCGCTTACAGTCTGCTCGCCAAAAACTAACAAATAGCACCTTTTTGCAGTATTCCTGCCTTTATTTCTGGGCTCTTTAAAGCTCCATCTCGTGCCGGGTGCTAACCCGAGGCTCCGTTTCCATTGCAGAAATGTCTCGTCGGCTGCATGCGGCTCATGTCCAGCCGGTACCCAGGCCCTGCGGTCTACAGCGGCGCAGCCTACAGGTCGAGCAGGCCTGTCCTAGAGCTTTATCAGGTTGGTTCATGGCTGGAAGCGTTTTCTTGACAACCAAAGTGCAGAATCTGCCAGGTCTGGATGTGTTTTTGAGAACAGCAGTTCTAGGTGAAAGATTCAGCTTTTTAATTTGCTTGGATTCAGCAGGTGTATTTTCTTAGTAGCAGAGTACAAGCGACAGAATTAAGGAGCAGTATTCCAATAACTCTTTCCTCTATGATGTAAATCTTTCACAGAACTTAGTTAATTGTCAAGAACCATTTCAAGCTAAGATAGTGTCAAACAACCTTAGGAGGAACAGCTTTTTTCACAGCTATATAGATGTATATCACAAGACATTACAATTGTATTAGATATTTGGCTTTTATGGGGGTTAGGTAGGCTGCTTTTCCAAGGTGACTATATGTTTTCCACAGCATTAAATGCACTAGAGGTAACACAGTGCTTGGCTTAAGTAAATCCACATTCTGGCTTTAATGCTTCTTCAATTAAATGTTTCTTTGCTTTCTACAACATCTAATGATTTTCTTTAGTCTAGATGTTACTCTTCTGGAGGAAGAAAGGGTTTTATATCAGGTTTTGTGGAGAACATCAAACAGGAGTTAGCCAAAAATAAAGAGATGAAAGAAAGTATTAAAAAATTCCGAGATGAAGCTAAAAAGCTGGAAGAATCTGATGCACTCCGAGAAGCGAGGAGGAAATATGTAAGTCCCCAAATTTTTTCAATATTTTCATTGTCTAGTCACTGTTCTGGTTATTAAAGTTCAGTCTTTGTGCAAATGAATTGTCTAGTTCAGCATGCCAGATCCTTCACGAGATTTCCCAGATAATGAGCAGATAAAATAATGGCACAGTGAGTCTAATTTCATCAGTGTTCAGATGTTGTCTGTGCAATGTTAAAGGATTTAAAAGAGCATCATTTCCGATAACGAAGTACTGGTGTTATTTACTTGAGTGTTTTGTGTTCTGCAAGAGCACAAGATTTCTTTGCACTTAAAAACAGAACTTGGCCATCTACTTGCTCTTCAGTTGAACTGTGAAGTTTTTTATTAATCTAAGTCAGTTGTGGCAGAATTAACTGCTGGGCTGTGAATCCCCCACTCACCCATTTCGAGTTATTGGCCTGTGAAATTTGTTCATTAATTCCCTTTTGCTGTGTTTCAGGATTGTTGTTAGTTTACATTGTATTGATCAGGAGATCTATTTTACCCAGCAAAGAACATGTTGTATCTTGATATGTTTTTCTTTCTTAGTGAGAAAATGCTGTTTATTTACCTTAAAAAAGTGCTGGGAAGGGAAACGAATCAATCCTACTCAGGATTAATTAACACTCTCCTAAATTACAGTGTTAGTGAGGTGTGCTATATGCTAAACTGTTGTTGAGTGTTTTCTGTCCTCATGGTTATGGTTATATCATGACTGTCTTTTTTTTTCCCCCACAGAAAACCATTGAATCTGAAACAGTGAAGACATCCGAAGTGATTAAAAAGAAACTTGAAGAAATAACTGGTACAGTTAAAGAGGTAAAACAACCAGGGAAAACCTTCCCTTGGGGCAGTTTGGTCCTAAGACACTGGGTTTTGTGTGTATTTGAATTACCACCCTTTCTTTTCCTCTTGGTGAGGAACAGTCATTATCTTTAGGGTTGGAGTCATTAAGAGCTGCAGCAATAATGTTTTGGCCACTGATTTTAGGACCTTTTCTTTCCCGTTTGGTTGCAGAGTTTGGACGAAGTCAGTAAAAGTGATTTTGGCCGGAAGATAAAGGAAGGTGTGGAAGAAGCAGCAAAAACAGCAAAGCAGTCTGCAGAGTCAGTGACAAAAGGAGGGGAGAAACTAGGCAAGACAGCAGCTTTCAAAGCCATTTCTCAGGTATGTGCAGGAGTCCCTGGCTTCTCTGAGGCCCAGTCCTGCAGACACAGCTCATGGTCATGGAAGTTACACGCAAGCTTGTGCTGAGTCTAAAATTACAAGCCAAACACGTAGAGCAAGAGTATTCCCATAAAAAGTACTGCTTGTGAGCGATGGGAATAAACTGATGAATTTAAGAGCTTTATTTTGCAGGTCTGGCATTTGTTCAGGTGCAAGTCTCAAGTAGATGAGTTTCTGCTAAACGTGATACTGTAAAAATGGTTTGCTGTGCTCATGGGGCAGAGTAGCATCTGTTCCTCTTCTGTAAACAAGCACTGGCAGGACTGTGGTGGACCCTTCTGAGCACTTTCCAGGAAATTACTTCATGAAATAAACTTGAGACTTAACAGTCCTCATAAAGCCACATGGTACTTTGGGCTAGATAAATTACGTGTCCTAAATAAACATACAACTTGGAGAGGAAAAA